CCTGAACTGTGCATCAAACATTTTATTGAAATGATAGCTAAATATCTATCTACTGGATAAAGTGATGTGCCAGAAACTGGAAGCTCTTTCTGTCAAACAGAATTTCTGAGATTCAGTCACTGATCCTGAATGGTGGTTTCACTGCAATGGAAAAGAAAATCCTGCTGATTTATTCTTTAGCAGAGAAAGAGCCTTTTACCTTGTGGAGTTTCCTTTGGTTATAGGGACCCAGTTCACTCTCTCATCCTAAAAGTATTTGACCAGTGAATCAACAGAGAGCTATCAATGAGGAGAGCACTCTGGATGAGAAAAGGGAAGAAACTATAAGATTTCCTTAAAGTTTCTGCTTAAGACGTAAGAACTCCAACATTATTAGATTTGGCTTGATTCCGCAAGCTGCTAAAAGTGTATTGGATTATAACTTATGTTAGTGGTTCATAAAATTTATCAAACGAAGTTCAGTAAAATTCAGAGATCAATTAAGCTCTGCTGAAATTTCAAGAGCTGAGCTCTACTGGGTGAAAGCTACACATCAAAAACATTTTACAAACGAGATTCTATAAATTTCAATAGAAAGCCTCCCAGATAAGACTTCTAAAGTTTACTCACTTGCCCAGAAATCGATACACATGGTTTCCTACATTTCAAAAGCATATAACTCTCACCTTCTTTGCATGCCTTCGTGGTGTATTGGTCTGCACACTGGGCAGGTACTCAAGAGGTCCGCAGTTCTATTCCCGGCAAAGGCACTGCAAATTTTTCATTTCTCCTGCTTGCAAAAAATACCTAATGTCTCCACAGTGGCATCCGAACTAAAAGGGTAGTGGATGGTGATTCTCCTCACCCAGGACTTGGCGATTGGGTCCCCTAAAACCCCAGTAGCCCTTTAAAAGGGGGAGTATATAAGGTATTTCTCCCGTCTTCTTGGTGTGGTGATCTGTATTCTGTGCGCATATTCCAGAGGTCCGCGGTTTGATTCCCGGCAGAGATGCTGCTAATTTTTCCCCTTCAATTTTCTGATCTAGATATCAGAGAAAAACATCTATGGCAGTTGCCTTAAAAAGACAGATACAGAGAATTATTGATCTTAAGAGTCTAATAATAAATTGCTTCATGCTAATGTCAAAGCCACCTCAGCCCAAATTAGAACAAAGTTTTGGATCGTAAAAGAATGCCAATTAGTCCACATGCCAATCAGTCCTTTCTATATGAACAGTATAAGATACGTGCCCCAACACAACCCCTCTTTTACCACCTGATCGGGATCTGCAGTCATCTTCATTCTGTGATAGACCTTGATTATGCTGGTCCTTTCTTCACAAAGGACAGCAAAGATTAACATTATTTGCTTGTATCTACTTGTGTTACCACTCGAATATATGTGGAACTTGTCCCTTTCTATGAATATAGAAAACTTTATATTTGCATTTTTGCAGATTTATTTCTGGTCATGGACTATTCAACATTATACTCAGACAATGCCACGTAATTCAAGTGTGTTGATCTCCAATTGTGAAAATGTATACAACATCCATCAGTACAAAATTTGTTTTCCTCACAAAATATAAAATAGAAAAATATTGTTGAAAAGGAATATGGTTGGGAGGATTGCATTTTAAGGTAAGGTATTTTAGAATGATCAAAACTAGTTTATGAAAAATAGTTGGACATTCTAATCTTTCTTTGAACGAGTTAGAAACCTCTTCCAGTACCAGAGAAGACCTGATTAGGTCTAAACATTCCTTGATCAAAAACTATAAACATCAATAAGCCTTGTTAAATCATTTTTGGAATCGTTGGAGGAAGCATTAGTTGCTTTCTTTAAGATCCATGAATTTATGTCCATCTTCTAAAGTGTTTTGGGTCACTTTAAAGTTGATAATCATCTCCTTATACACGATAACTGCTTCCCTAGAGATCTGCAGACTATAGGTAAGATAGTAAAACTTATCCTGGTAGAGATGGTCAAGTTCACTCCTATCTCCTAAAAACTCAAACAGGTAACTTAAATGAGACCAGTGCAATTGCTATTCAACCTTGAGTATATAATTATTAGTAAAGAGCAACTGCGTAATAATTTGATTTTATTGTGTGGTATATCCCGTTTGCAACAGGCACCTCTGTTACCGAAAGCGTTCTCTTGGGACGGCTGGTTAACCGGATGCGTCGTCCTGTGGGGACATGCAATTTATGCTGCTAAGCCTAACTTTGGAAAAAAATTCATATAAATGAAATTTGTCATCCAATTTTTAAAATTTGGGGTACATTATGAGAAGAACATTCAGGTAGTCGTCAGAATTAATTTTAAGCCTTTATTATTATATTTTCCTCAAAAATTTTATAAAATACTCATTCTAGAATAATATGATTTTCCCAATATCCCACAAATAAATATATATGGAAAAATATCCAAACAATCGCAGATTTAATTTAACACACAAAATTAAAATTTAAAAAAATATTAAAACTATCTTTCATAAAAATTCAACAAGTAAACAACAAAAAATAAGCAATGTTTCAAAATGAGACAGTGTACGATATTCTTTGAAACATGGGTGTAGGCAAAGTCCAACGTTGCATTAGTCACAGGAATATAATATCTGCTACTATTTTACTCAGCAAATTTGACTCAGTTAGCATTTGTATATGTTCTATGGTCAGATAGTGCTTTTGTTTTGCCATTTAAAAAAAAAAAAAAAAAAAAAAAAAAAACTTTCGCTAAGCGATACAAAATATTCGTCTCAATCCTGCAAAACTCAAAGAGTAATAAAAAAAGTCTCTAATGATAGAACATCTACTCCAGTATAACCGATAAAAAAATAAAATAAAAATAAGAAAAATGAATAAATTGAATTAAAAGTATTCCAGAGCATGGAGAACATGTTCATTTGCTTATATAAAATGACGCAGTAAGATCCATTACATTACTCAACACTAACGAATAAATGATTGTGCATATTCTACGTTTAGATACTGCTTTCGTTTGCCATTTAAAAAGATAGGTTTTGCTGACGATTAAAAATATTCATCTCAAAGCACAAAAAATCTAAGAGTAATAAAAAAAAAAAAAAAAAAAAGGAAAAATATAAGCGTAATAAAAAAAATCTCTAATGATAATTATAAGTTGTTTTAGTGTGTTAAAATATTACTTGACTGTTATTTGCAATTTGAAGTTATTTAAATACTGTTTAAAATGTTACAGTTGATTTAGTAATATTGATTTTTTATGTAGTCGGTTTGTGTGAACATACGAATTCACAGTAGGGAAGTGTTGAAAAGAAACACAGGTGGATGCCACTGCTTTGCTGCAGAATGAATGTAAACAAGAAAGGTTTTGGTTCATAGTGACAGGCAAACATTATGTAATGTAGTTATGAGAAAGGAATTGTGTATTGGTTACTTATGTAGTATAATTTTGGTGAAGGTTGGTCCACCTTATAATAGGACAAACATAAATGTGGATATAAAATTATAAATTTAAATAACAAAAATGAACCATTTGTTGTTTGGATGTAACGAATCACCTGTTTAATTTGGATAAGGCTGCCTGGCAATGGCGTAGCAAGAGGGGCAAGGGGGTGCATGATGCCCCAGGCGCCGCTCGCGATCGATTTCTGGAAAATATATTTAAAATTATTAATAATTACTGTAATATAATTAATTATTTATTTTCTTAATTTGTCTGATTTTTAGTTTGTCCCGAATTTTTCAAATATATCCAGTTTTCAAAAACGATTCCATAGTCTGGAAATGACATTTTGGGAAACTCCTAACGCTTCCACTACAATAGATTTTGTTTAGACTCTCCTGTAAACGACTGATGGTCTTCCTGTCTACCGATTTAACTAAGTCATCTTGCTGAGAGAGACATCATATATTCACTGTACAAAGCATTCAACGCATGTCAGTTGTTTTTAATCTCCTACTACAAAAGGAATGTTGCATGTCACTCCTTATCTAAAATGCGTTGTCGACGCAGACTAAATTTACATATTCCCAACTTTGTAAAGGTTATAATTTTCCTTTATAATCTCTTCTATTATATTTCCTTTTGGTAAAAAGGTGGTCAATTATATGGTTATTTCATACTGAACTCGCAATATCCCTTAATTGTTTTGAGCAGTAAATGTGACTGCAAGATATTACTCCGCAGTAGAAAAGAAACTGAACCTAAAACTCCATTACAGATCTATGGAGAAAATGTTTTTCCAAACCTAAGAGTCTCACTTCAAATACTCCTTACTATTTCATATCAAATGCTAGCCATATAAGCTTTCAGCAAATTTAAATAAATTTTGACCATTTATCAACGGTGTGACTAGATCCTCTAAGTCATCTAGCATTTTTAAGTGTGGAAAGAGAAAAATTTGAAATGATCGATTTTGATGAAGTAATTGATGAATTTGCTTCATCTAAGGCAAGAAAAATGTATACATAGTAATTAATTGTATTAATGTATTATAATATTATATTATTATTAATAAATATATCTACTTATCTATAATATATACTAAACTTTTAATTGTTTAAAAAAAATTATATAAACATGTAAAATAAATAATACCTTTTTAACTAATTCCAGATCATCGTCTGCCTGATTTTTCAGCCAACACAGATACATTTACAAATCCAATGATAGTGACTATTCTTAACATATTTTAGAGTATTTTATGGCAGAGTCAGCATTTTATTATTATTTGCATTATTTTCTTATTACGAATATATTCTATATATTATATTACTGTGTTTTTTGGGGGGCGCCAAAAAGGTATTTTGCCCCAGGTGCCAGTCATGCTCGCTACGCTACTGCTGGCTGGTGCTTTTGTTTTTAATATACATATGTATATAGGTTTGAAAACTATTTGTCACTAAATGCACTATGAGATCATAATTCATTTAGCAACAAATATTAGATTAAAATTAGTAAAGACTAAAAGAGATTAATAGCAGTAAATAAAAAAGATATTATTTATAAAATAAGTGAAATTTTAAAAGCTTACTATTTCGAGGTTTAAAATACTTCATTAAACCTTGAAAATGACGAAAACTCAACTGCAACGGAGCATTTCTGGTAACAAGCAGGCGAAAGGCATGCTGACAAGCTTTACGGCGATGAAGCAATAACTTTCGGAATTTATCTTTTTCAATACGAGTAAAGGTTTCATATACAACTGCTAACATCTGCATTAAAAGTAAAGATAGATTTTCTTAACATTGCAATTACAATTATACAAAATGCACAAAGTTTATATTAAAAATTAATTTTTTTTTAAAAACCTTTCATTATGCATTTTAAAAACAGATTAAACATATTTCTTTGAAAAACTTTAAACTCTTCATGAAATAAGAACCGATATTACCTTAAGTACGCCGTATTTATCAAACTTTAAAACATGGCAGACTATCAGTATAGACACAATTAATTCATTGCAGCAAAAAATTAAGGATGGCAAGTTTTTTTTTTTTTTTTTTTTTTTTTTTTTTTTTTTAAACTTAGGAGAGGCAATGGGCAGCAGAATTTACAGGCATAAAAATTTTTAGAATTTAACTCTTTCGCTAACACAGGATATATATGTCCCAAAGGCAGTTTCAAATGTCCCTATGGAATAAATATGCATTGTATTAACATGAGTGCATGTCCCAATACTATTCCTTCATAACACTGATAATTCAACGTAATTCCCTCCCAACAGATAGCAGGCAGAGTCCTTTCCCAATAAATTTTTCTGAGTAATCTGTCAAAATGCAGTATTTTTCCCTCTCTGGAAGCCATTTATTCGCACTGTATTATATAGAGAGAGGTCTCATGCACTTGTAATCTCCCAAATTATTATCAAAATAAGGAAGTAAGTGCATTTTTATAGTAATAGATAATATGGAACATAATTGCCCCAGTGGTACGTTTTTCTAGAACATTATTATCCCACTGGTAATGAAAATATATACTGAAGGTCCTTTCTCAAGGCTTCTTTTAGTCTTTTAAACCTGTAATTATCACGAGTAGGCGGAAATGATAATAAACTTAAGAAATTCAGCATCTATTGAATGAAGTGGATTCAGATGATGAATTAGATGATTCAGACCAAAATGTCGAACATAAACCCGACTCCTCTGACAGCAAGAATTCTTCTGAAGGAACTCGGAAATCAGAAACTTCAATCACAAAATCCAGGTACTTCAAGCTCGCACAAGCAAGTTGTCTCATGATGAATATGAATCAAATGAATCTGGCTGTCTCGGACCACAATGATTCCTTGCCCAATGTATTTAGCACAAAAATACAAGGCAACATGTAAATGGCTGAAAAAAAGAAACAGTAATTTAGCTTAATTTACTGACCATGTTATTTGATCTTCTGCAAGTCCACAGTTTATGTTATGGATGCATCAAAAAATTATGTTGAATAGTAGAAGGTTCAACTTGAAGAAGATGAGTATGCTGTGCCAAAGAGAAAAAGGAAAAAAGGACAAAAATTGTATGTGCAGTTTGCAAATTGCACACTGTAAAAACTGTTTCACGCTGCATCATACATGGGTGTTTATTATTTTATTACATCTTTTGCAAAATTGATCTGAGTAAAATAACTTAGCTTTCCATTACATTTTCAATCATTATTTGTTCGGTACCATTGAGACATATGCGTCCCACTAAAACATACCAATGGGACAAACGTTTAACTGATCCTCCTCCCCAAGTGATTCTTTATTTCTTCAGAATATTATTGATATTTGTATTGTACTTGATGTATTAAAGAACTTATTTTACTTTTTCTTCAAAAAAAAATATATTGCTGGTGAAAAGGTTATGGAGGTAGCAAGCAGCAGAATTTTGGGCTTGCAAGACTGCACAGGATAGCAAAATGTGTAGCACAGACATTGCCACTCAAAACAACCACTTAAGGGCTGAAAGTGTGATCCTGGCCACTATCAATATAATGTCAATCAATGTATCGTTACTGGTTATGATGTGATACCTAGCCAGTAGGTGTTTGAAAGTGACGTGCAGAAATCTCAGTCCCAAGAAAAATCAGATTTATGGCACACCTATTTCCTTTTTTTGAGAAACTGTATTCAGATCCTATGCGCACCATTGTTCTCTACAAAGCATATTTATTATTGCTTATTTCAGTATTATATCTGATTTCAGAAGTAAATTAAAAATAATAGTTTTTTTCATTAATCTGTTACTGAAATATGATAATACATTTAATAATAAGGATACTGGAAAACACACTTTGCCAAAGAAATACAGAACATTCTAAACTGGTTTATGATACAGAATTAGACAATAAAAGAAATATGCTTACCAAGTTCATCAAAAAGTAAACATGGATTATTATGAATGCTATAAAGAAAATAGATGACCACTTGGATTGAGCATATGCTGGCATCATAACATCAGGAAAGCTTCATTAGGTAAAATAGCATAATTAATATTTTATTGCTTACATTACTGATAATTTTAGAGACATTTCAAGTAAAAAAAATGAAACTCAAAGTAAATAATCCCTAAAAGTAAAACCTTACTTTGCTGTTGTGAGAAGTACAAAGAGGCTTACAAAACTTTCTAGCATCGTAGAAAAATACTGAAATAAAAGAACATAAACTAAATCACTTTACAACATTTTAAACAGGAGAAAAACAAAGTGAATTTTTTTTAAAAAAAAAGTCTTTATGAGGAAATTGCAAAAAAGAAATATATAAATTAATATTATGTATTCCCTGTAACAGATAAAGAATGTTTAATTGGAAAAAAAAGTCATTTACTTACTAAATCACTCTTAATTGATCTGAAGAGATAAAATCCTAAAAGAAAATGCAGCATTTTTTCAGTCTAATGATATGTAGCATGTTATAACGCATTTAATAAATATATTAAAAAGTAGAAGGTTAATGTAAATATCTTTTTACATCAAACATAAACTTAGAAATATCTACAATAGCAGTTTTTTTCTTTATATATATATATAAAGAAAAAACTGCTATATATATTAGTAAACATAAAACAATGAGCATTTTAAACACTATAATGAAAAGCTTAAACATTATCACCACATATCTAATGATAATAGTCACCAAAATTCTATTAAGACAATTGAAAAGGCATGGATGTTTACAGGATAACTAAAACATTTTAATACTTCACTTCCAATAACCTATTAAACCGGAATTTTTGGAGAGCCAGTACTTATCAGTCAGAAATCCATTAGTTAGCTTGTACCTTTCAATGAAAATTTCTCACTAATTAATACAAGTTTGTAAGCTCGAGCTGTGTTTTATTTTGCAATGAAAAATTTAATTTTTGTCCTATAAAATGAGTGATGATACTGATATCCATTTCTTATGCATTTCTTTTATTATTAAGAGTACTTCTTCAGAACATTTATTCCAAGCATATAATTATAATTTCAAAACTATCTATATTTTAAATTTAATAAATTATACATAATTTTAAACACAATTGAGAATGTTTTACTATTTTAATATAACAACATTAAATTAAAAGTTATAAAAGAAGAAATGGCTCATAAAAAGTGCAATTAACCAATAAAAAAATTAAATTGCTCCTTTTTCAGTCCAATATTATTCCCTCTAACATCCAAATTCTGCTTATAAAAGAATGTTTGTTTTAAAGTTTCTGACAAAAAATTCTGTGTTGCAATTTTGAATTAATTTTATACTAGTTTATTTGGTTAATTTTAGTTGGAATGTCTTCTATAAAAAAATTACTAAGTATGCTACAATTATTTTATTGCCATAATCAAGAATTACCTTGGCATCAAATTGCTATGAAATCAGCATCAGAGAATTACAGGCATAGTGTAGGCTGCTGTTCATTACTCAACAAAATACAGCTTCACTTAAATTAGAATTTTTGAAAATCAACACAGAAAAAGAAGTCCAAGCAAAACTGTGTTATAAAAGGGCTGATTTCATTTGTCCCTAAAAGATCATTTTGACAGTAGTGAAAAACTGAAACATGACACATAAGTTTTCAGCTCATGATTATAGGCAGATTGTAAATCATACTATATGAAAATATTTTAGTCTCTAATCTCTGAAGGCACCTTTTATTAATGAAAAGCAGATGCCTTAAATGATTACTATAAGCATGTGATTTTGACAGAAGGACTGTGAATCAATCGCCTAAATTTAACACTTTCTTTGACACCAAATAAATGAGCTTTATCTATACTACACAAGTTAAACTGTTGTACTATAGCAATAAAAAAACCTACTACAGTTGTGATATGAGGTTGTATCTCACAGTGGCATAGCGACAGGGGGCAAGGGGGTGTATGATGCCCCGGGCGCTGCTCGCAGAGGGGTGCCAAATTGTCTCCAAACAAGATTTTCTGGAAAATTTCAGTTAATATTTTGATCGATTTCTAGAAAACGTATTCAAAATTAATAATTATTCTAATATAATTAATTATTTATTTTCTTGATTTGTCTGATAAAATGTGCAATAAATGTTTATGCTTGCAGTACATCAATTAAATATCTCCGTACACAAAACGTTCTTCTGACCACTTTATTCTTCTAAAATAGAGAATTTTTTTTAAACGAAATGCATGTATAGCTCCCACTTTTTATTTTAAAACGATAACAAACAGCACAGTCTCATATTATAACCCTTCGACCTTGAACTATTATTTATTCGGAGGCTGAAATTATAATAGGGGGACCGGAAAGTAATGTCATTTCTGCGCATGTCGACAACAACATGCTAAGGGCAGAAGTGGAAGCAAATCCATGTCACGCACTCTTAACCAGCCTTGGTCGACCATCCAAGAATATTTAAAGCAGAATGGAAAAATAAGCAAAGCAGGTGTTAGAGTCCTTCTTTATCTGTTCGAAAAGAACTAAGCCAACCTATCCATCACATGCAACGTATTGCTTCAACGGCACCATACAGAACCGTTTTTTGATCGTTTGATTAGTGGAGACAAAAAATATGTCCTATATGATAATCCAAAACTAAAAAGGCAGTTTTAATAGGGGTTACAAAGGGTTTACATCCCGAAAAGGCACTTCTGGATATTTGATGGAGTATTCACGGAATTGTTCATTTTGAATTGCTGAAACCTGGACAAACTGTTAATGCAGACCTTTATTGTGAACAACTGGATGGAGTGAACCAATCTTTAATCGAAAAATATCAATTGTCAACAGAAAAGGCGTCATTCTGCAACACAACAATGCAAGACCACACTGTGCAAGACGAACACTGGAAAAAATTAATGAGTTGGGGTGGGAGGTACTGCCATACTCACCCACCATGCTCGGCCGATATCGCAGCATTGGATTTCCATTTATTCGGATCCCTACAGCATTTTCTTAGTGGCAAAAAATTTGAAAATTTGAATCATGTCCAAAATGTCCTCTCGAGATATTTTACTCAAAAACCAATTGGTTTCTATCGGTCCGGGATTGAAAATCTGCACATTAGATGGCAAAAGGTATATAATTTTAAACACAATTGAGATATTGATAAACGAGGGTGATTGTATTATTGATTAAAAATAAAAACTTGTTAAAAATGTATTCGTTTGAATTTAATGTAAGAAAGCGACATTACTTTCCGGTCCCCTATTAGCTATAGAAATCTTTGATATGCATTTTACTTTTTAACATCAACTTGAAGATTCCATTATTCAGTGAATAGTGCAATGCATCTGAAATTGTTATGTGATAGTTCCGTTATGTTCTATCCAAGTTCCGTGCCCGTTTTTTTCACAGCCGCACCGCCGATGGATAACTCCATCGCAGCAAATCATGTGGTGTTGCTGTTAGTGTGCTTATGAAAGAGACCGAAGAATGCATGGGAATCTTTTTTTAGTCCAGAAATTGTTATTGTTGACTTTCAGTTTAAAAATACCAGTGCTTCAATTCTGTTTGGATGAAGACAGCCACGCTAGGCTTATTTAGTACTCTAACTTACTTTTATTTCTGTCCTAACTATCGTTCTTCAAGGGGTAGTGTGGTTTAAATATTATTTTCCAATTAATCTCAATCTCGCTGCTAAAAGTGTCAGCCATGTTTGTTTAGTAAGTGTGACAATAATGATAGCATTATACCCTTTCAGTAACTTTTCTTCATTATTATGCACTTAGCCATGTTTAATTGACTTCTGTATAATCTTACCTTTATATGTAGGTAAATTGAAATATAAGTTTCCCCTGTCGACTGTGGTCAGAGTTGTGTATGAAAGTCAAAAAATAGAATGAGACATTAAAGATATGACATACTTTTTTTTTTCCACATAGGTACCAAGTACATTGAGACATTTGTCATATCGCTTGATAAGCTTCAAAAAGCCTTCCAGTAAAAAATCAGGGCTTTGCATATGGAAGAAGCGTTGAACGGCTTGTTTCACTTCAGTATTGCTTCCAAAGTGCCTTTCCCCCGAGATTTTTCTTCAAAGCCGGAAACAGATGGAAGTCGCTTGGTGTGAGATCAGGACTGTATGGCAGATGGTGTAGGCGCTCCCAACCAAGAGTTGCAATATAGTCTTGCGTTGCCATCGCCGAATGTGGTCTGGCATTGCCATTCAACAGCAGAACGCCAGATGTGAAAAGGCCAGGTCGCTTTTTCCGAATCGCCTCTTTCAATTTCGACAGGGTGTCACAGTAGCGCGTAGCATTGATGGTTCCAACCTCCAAAAAGTCTAGCAACAAAACTCCTTGGGCTTTTTGAAGCTTATCAAGCGATATGACAAATGTCTCAATGTACTTGGTACCTATGTGGAAAAATAAAGGTATGTCATATCTTTAATGTCTCATTCTATTTTTTGACTTTCATACACAACTCTGACCACAGTCGACAGGGGAAACTTATTTTTCAACTTACCCTCATATTATGTTATACTCAGCAACTCTTTATTAGTATTTGTGCTTGTTTGCAAGTTACCTTTGTAATAGTATAACTAATTGGAATTCTGTTAAAGTAGTTGTATTATTGTTTAACAAATAATTATCATAATGTGAATTTAGTACTTAGCTAACATTCAATTTCTGCATCAGTTGGAAGCCTACCTTCACCCAAACTATATTTTAGGCATTATAACTAGCTTTATTATTATATGCTAGTTGATTGTTTAAATTTAAGAACATTGTTATTTTTTGTAGCATATGCAATATATTCTAATGTTGAAATAGCCTACAAAAAAATTTCTTAGTTCAAATACTTTATAACAATGGAAAATCAAAGGGATTATTAATACCAGAGGCTTATAAATCCTTTTAAACATTAATTGACCTAAGCTCCCGAGTTTTCTATTTCAAGTCTAGAGCCCCCAAATTTCCGTAGTAGCTAACTTGTAAGGATTATAGTAATTTTATTAATAATTAAATTTTGAGTTAAACTTCCTTTCCTATCGCTTCTTAACTTCAACTTACCACTTCCAGCCAGAATGTAGTTTTAAAATCACGTCTGAATACTAATGAGGAGGAGCGGCATATAACCATGAAGTTTTACTGTCTGAGGGAGAGAGATACCAGAGATTCTGGTTAGCACGCGTCCGCCTTTTTAGGCTACTCTCTCTTAAGCTATTGTTACGCTCAGGCGTACTTTAGGCCCTTGATAGCTTCGCAGTCAATTAGCGTTAAGGAGCCAACTCCATTAGAATCTTGATAGCTTCGGCTATATCTCTTTAGTTGAGCTTAGTTTTAGTTTAATTCTTAGTCTCTTCAGTTCAAGCCCAAGTTTCAGCTTTATTGTACACTGCTCAAAAAAAAAAAAAAAGGGACAGTCCTATATCTCCCGATCTACTGGGCCGATTGACAAAATTCAAATTGCGTTCC